ATTCCTTCTCACTCCCAGAGTTATCATTTCTTCCCTAACCTATAAATGTGCTCATCTTTCCAATTTCAAGGAAAAAATAAAATACTTTCTTCAACCATGGAGCTCATGAATAACATTTTTTCCTTCCTTGCCCTCAGAATTAAAATTTACCAAGAGTAGCCTATACTCTTTATTTCTCTATGGCCTCAAATCTCATTTATTTCCGGACTCCTCACAGTAATCAGACCTGTACCCATACTATTACAACGTTGAGATTAAGCCACCAATGGCTTCCAGTTGCCAAATTCAACTGACATTGTGTAGTTCCGACCTGACTTTCCTATGGCATTTGACAGTACTGATCGTTCCTTTTAGAAATCTTTACCTTAGCATCTTGGACACCACTATCGCTTTGCTGTGTCCCTGTTTTGTTCCAGATCCCTCGCAGTATTTTTGCTGGTTTCTCTTTTAACTTCTCACTCACCTCCACCAGTGCTCATCCCAAATCTCTTAATAAACACTGATATTCGATGGGTTCTATTCATGGCCATTATCCCGTTTCTTCTCACTCTATACTCTCTCCCTGGGTGATTTCAACCATTCCCCTGATTTCAACTACCACCTATACAAAGATAGAAGCCCTGGTGGCACAGTGGTTAAGAGTTTGGCTGCTAGCCAAAGATCAGCCATTCGAATCCACCAGCTGCTGCTTGGAAACTCTATGGGGTAGTTCTACTCTGTCCTATAGGTCGCTATATGTTGGAATCCACTTGATGGCAAAAGGTTTGGTTTTTGGTTTACACAGTGATGACTATCAAATGTCTCTCTCTGGTATAAACCTCACTCTAAAACTCTGGGTCTGTATTCAGCCATCTACCTACTGAATCTGTTATCTCAGCAACCACATCCACCCTAACCCCCTTTGCTCTCCATCTTAATGGCAACATTATCCCCCAAGTTAGATTAAAGTTCAGTCCAACAATCTGAGTACCCACTAAGAGCCAGTACTGTGCTACAACCAAACCCACTGCCACTGAGTCGATACTGACTCAGCGACCGTAAAGGACAGAGTACAACAGCCTATAGGGTTCCCAAGGCTGTAAATCTTTACAGAAGTAGACTTCCACATCTTTCTACTGCAGAGAGGCCTGTGGATTCGACCCACTGACCTTTAGGTTAGCAGCCAAGAGCTTTTAACCACGGCACCACCAGGGTGCCTTTTAGTACTGTGCTAGGGAGTGTGAAAACCAAAGCAAGTAAGTTATGGCCCCCATTACTTAAGGAAATAATTCAGTGAGGGAGATGGTTGGTTAAATCAATAAAATTATTTACTTTGTATTTAATTCTATTAGAAAGTTTCGAAATTTTTAAATTTATGTGTCTATCTCTCAAATGAAACCTACAAATTCCTTGAGAACACAGATTGAGTCTTATTTTTTTATTCCGAGGACGTAACGGGCACTCAGCAATTGATGAGTGGATAGATCCCACTAATGAATAAAAATAAACTTATATTTCAAAAAAAAGTTGAAGTAAATTTTTCCTGTACTTACTTTAACTTTTAACTAGAGCATTTGGGTCCAACTAAGAAAATTTGGACACATTACTTCTGCATTCCCAAAATCATATCATATGTATGTGTGTGTGTGTCTTCACACACATACACACACACATGCAATATTCGAGATTATAAGGTTGGCAAAGTGTTATACAAAGTCTCTCTGAGTATCTTAGTCTTATAAAATGATTTGAGAATTTTTCCGTATTGTTACTTCAATTTTTACAGGTATTTGTATCATCTCTCAAATTAGTTTTACTGACAAATTTAATGAAAACGCTACTCATCATTCCTCTTTGATCATTAGAGACACTAATAAAAATTAGAACTAATAATTATATCAGTTTCAACCTCCTAATGTCCATCCCCTCTAGGTAATATTTAAATCATACAGTCATGCAAATCAATGATGATTATTTTTCCTAACAAGATTATCATTAGAATATCTCAAACCAAATATTCTTTCTTATTTTGACCTAAGCAAAAAGAAGACTTTTTTAAAAAACATTACATTTAGATAGCCAAGAGAGACAACTGAATAGGCTCGAAAGTGTAGTGCAAGGTTACTTTATAGAACAGGAGTATCAAACTATGCACATCAGCTGCCACCCTATACACAGATGTCTCTGATATGGTAATAAAATGAGAAACAGTTTGGTTTAATAATAATAAAAAAGTAACATCAGTTGGTGCATATTACATGTAGCATCTAGCCCTGGTTGCCTAGCAACAAGTCATGAGTGAGCTCCACAGAGAATAAACAGCCCTAAATGAAACGTACAGTTTGTACAAGTTTCAAGGACCCAGAGAGACGTTGTCAGTAGTTAATCTAAATTCCAGTTGACAATTACCATACTGAAGTGAAAGAAGGAGAATCCATCATTATTTCACAGAACAAAGCATTAACTAGAAGTAAGATTTTTGCCCTTCAGGTTTACATCTTTTGAACGAGTGGTTTTTACAGGAAAAATCGTGACAATATGATTTATAAATTCTAAAAACATGCAGAAAAATAGCACAAGATACCACTGTTATGCGTTCATTCATTCGACAAAACTCATAATGAATACCTATCATGTGCCAGATACTGTTCCAGCCACTGAAAATACAAATATGAAAGTCACCTTACAAGCTCTCAAGGAACTCATACTATAATGGAGAAATAAGACAAGCAAACAATTACAATAGCACAAGTTCTGTAATATAGTGGTAGCCAGGGGTATTATGCAAACACATAAAAAAGATACCCAATTCAGACTGTCAGGGAAGGCTCACCAGAGGAGGTGACATTGGAGCTGAGTCTTAAAGGCCAAACAAACATTAGTCAAATTATAGAAGTGTGGGAAGGGAGTAGGGCATTCCAGGCAGAAGGAAGTATATTTACAAGGGCATAGAGGTGAGCAGGAGCATGTTGTATTAGAAGAATTTCAAGACATATGGTGGAACTAAAAGTTGGCATGCCAGTACTGAAAGATGACACCAAAGAGCCAGGGCAGGCCCCTTCAATAAGGACATCATATGCCAGGCTAAGGAGTTCAGACTTCATCTGAAAGAAAATGGTTTTAAGCAGAAGAATAATATGATTACATCTGGCAATGATGTGAAAAATATTAGAGGGGGCAAATAGGGAGTCAGGAAGAAAAGACAAGAGGCTACTACAGTAAGAGAGATATTCAGGAGATAAAATCAACAGGCTTTGGTCACCAACAAATGGGTAGGAGACTGGGGCTGGGGAAGAGACTCAAACATGACTCCTGGCTTTCTTAACTCACTAACACAAAGCTCCAGAAAATTTAATGATGGTACAATGTTTATGATACTCAGTCCATGATGAAATACTGGTTTTGACCCACTCTCCCCGCACCCCGCACCCCACCAAAAAAAAACAATTATACAGAGATTAAGAAATGTCTGTCTGGGAAGGAAAAGTTACTTGAGAGAAGGGAAGGGAAAGGAAAAATAAAGAAAACTAAAAAATAGGAGAAATTAATATCCATCCAAGCTTCTGAATGAGAAGTGATGTTGTAAGTTGAAAAAGAATTTAAAACAAAAACATAAAGGAAAAGACTATTGTCACTTGACTACATAAAACTTGACAATATAGATATGCAATCAAAACTCTTTAGAAAAAAAATGTTTGTAGCAAATACAACTAAGGATTACCACCCCTTGCATCTAAAGAAGTTGCTGTTAATTGCCGTCAAGTCAATTCCAATGCACAGTGACCCAGTGTGTCAGAGCAGAACTGCTCTGTAAGGTTTTCAAGGTTATGACCTTTCAGAAGCAGATCACCAGACCTGTCTTCCAAGGCACCTCTGGATGGGTTGAAACCACTAACCTTTCAGCTAGTAGTCAAGTGCTTAACCATTTGTGCCACCCAGGGATTCTAAAGCAGATAAGATCAAATAAAATCAGGAGACACTGTCAATAAATGGAAAAAAAAAAAAGTAATCTCTCCAAAATAAAACTGGATAATAAAATGTTTAAAAATCATTCTTAATAGTAATCAATGAAATGAATATGATCACAATAGTATCTCTATCATTAACCTATTAAATTAGCAACTGTTTTGCTGTTCCACTTTGCTCAGGGTAATATAGGCAGTCTTGTGCAATATGAGAGTATAAAAAGAATAAGGTTGTTGAAAATGATATAATTAAACCTTTAAAAATGTTCATGGTCTTTGAGAAAGTAATTTCACTTCTGAAAAACCTATCTTAAGGAAATGATCTAAATTTTATATAAAAGTTTGCATACAGCATTATTTAGCAGAGTAAAAAGAAACTGAAAAGGTTTAAATTCCCCCAAAGGGAGATAAATACACTGTAGTACAATCGTACAAGAAACTATCATGTAGTCACTTAAAGTTATGTTTTTACAGAGATTTTAATAACACGTAAAATCTTACAATCTTTATATAAAATATAATTTCAATACAGGGCTTTTAAAAAGCACAGAGAGGAAAAAGCATTACTTCCAATTAGTGATGATGGGTTCTTCTTTGCCCTTTCCTGTATTTTCTAAGTTTTTTTTTTTTTTTAATAATGAGAATATATGATTTTTGTGGTTAGAAAACAAATCCCACCCATTTCATCAATCCTCAGTAGAATATATGGAGGTCTCAAAAGTATGCTTTTCCCTTGGAGTTAAATATTTAGCTCACTCCTTTTAGATCTTGCTGTAAAGTTATCATCCCTATTCATTTTAATTTAAATTTATTAACTAGCTCTACTCATTTTTATTGAATTAAAAGAGCTTTCTACAACACCCTCTAAAGTTAAGGGTAACAAGCATATTGTATTAAGAACTTCAATCTGAGCCACAGAATTAAAGCAAGATGATTTGGAGTCTTTTTTTTTTTTTTTAAGTTTTTAGTAACTGAAGGGGTTTTAAGTTTAACATACATTAACCACTTTAATGTACTTGTATGTATGAGCACAACAAGGCTGTGCCTTTGCATTACCTGAGGTGGTTAAGCAGAGGCTGAAGTCTCTCATCAGATTGCACAGCAGGCAAGGACCTGGCTGTTAACTAAAAGCAGAGAAGAGGGTTAATACAAACAGCAAAGGCCAAACACTGAACACATATGAATACTAAATGCAAAAAAGAGGGTTTGGGAAGGAGGGGAGTACTTAAAATACACAGAAACTTTTCTCTTTTTTAAATTAAGGAATTATATACTAAGTTGATTCATCCTATGTGATTAAAGCTAACTACCTGCCCTAAGGTTGTAGGGTATGTCACTGAGTTCAGAAATAAAGACAATGGGAGGCAAAACAAATAGTAAGAGGAAGTTTTCATCTGAGTTCATGAAAAAGCCTCTAGTTATGAAACTATAATGTTTGTAAATAAAAATGGAAAATTTCAAAATGCTAAAATGTATGACAACCAACTCTGCACCACTGAATCTCAGAATGATGAAAAAATTGGGGACAGGGACTTTAATTTATAGCTAAGCCACTGTGAAATTGGTCCCATGCTGAAGTAAACACACACGATGCATTCCTTCATTCTAAAACCATACCACTATAAGGAACCAAGAACATCTTTTAAACATATAAAAGGGGTCCAAAGTATTTAATCTTGAAATATAACCTCATATATCTAGGACCAAAAAAGAGGAAGACCCTCCACAAGATGGAATGATACAGTGGCTACAATGGGCTCAAGCATAACAACTATTGTGAGGACGGCACAGGACCAAGCAGTGTTTCCTTCGGTTGTACACAGGGTCACTATGAGTCAGAACCAACTAGATGGCACCTAACAACAACAACAACAACAACACAACAACACTATTTATACAACATCTCCATTCACCGTTGCTTCTGCCTCTATTCTTGCGTCTCCCCTAATTTATTCTCCACACCACGGCCAGAGAGAAGTCTTCAAAGTTAAACCTAATTAAAACTATCTAATAATTTCATTAGCCTCTCAGGATAATGTTATTACACCAGGTCTTTCATCAGAAACTTTCCTTAAGAATTCTCTTTTGGACCACATTACTGAAACACTGGGAAAACGGTAAGTGTGACTTACTCTATGACTTTTGTCAACTCCACAAGATACAACTGGAGCAATCAGGTAGAAACTTGCCATAACTCCAGTTTCTAGAACACATATGCTCAACAATTTGATCTTCCTCTCCCTCAACACTCACACATCACTTATTTTCAAGTTTGAATCTTCTGACAAAAATAATTCCTACACCATGAGTAAATGCTTTTAGTAAAATTATTTGAAGGAAGATTTTCAGTTTTCCAAAGACTTTGCTTTCAACTTTTAAAACAGTTAACATTTTCAAAAAGAGCATGTTATCTCTTCACGTTAAGAAGATGAGGTAATAAAGCTATTCCAAAGCTCCTGAAAGTGGCAAAGTCATTTGCTGACCTTTTTCTGACAAAATATAAACTTCATTCTAGGAACTGTTGACTCCATTGTTCCGTGGGAAATTTCTCTATAAGCCCCTGTAGTTACTACTCACAACCACTGGACTGTGGGTGGCACTGCATCCCTAGCACGTGCAACGTAACAGAAGTTTAATAAATATTTACTGAATGTGTGACAAATTCAAGAATCTGCAACTGTGCGATTCCATTAATTGATGAAAATGAAAGTATATCTATATTTACATTTCATAGTGAAAGATTTTTAAATTCCTGCTTTGAGCAAAGCTTATAACTGGGCCAAGTAAACTACAACTGGCAGACTTCTTCTGTGAATTCAATGCAATATCATAACAAGATTTTCAATATTAAAAACTTTCTTCTACAACCTGAACTGAATATCTGTCTCATTTAAATAGACTTTGGTTTCCAAATATGTTTTAACAATTTTTTTTCTCTTTTTTCATCAAAAATGAAAAGGGAAGATCTACCACAGTTTATATGTGGGAAGCTGAAATGGGTTGAGTTAGGGCTATTTCATGGGAACTGTCATGGATTGAGTTGTGTCCCCCAAAAATATCTGTCAGGTTGGCTGGGTCATGATTCCCAGTATTGTATGATTGTGTTATCTGATGTGATTTCCTTATGTGTTGTAAACTCTATCACTATGATGAGATTATATGTGATCTCCTTATGTGTTCAAAATTCTATCACTGTGACGAGGTTATACTGATGAGGTTGACAAGATTAGTGTCTTCATGCAATCTCTTTTGAGATATAAAAGAGAGAAGAAAGCAGAGACACATGGGAACCTCATACCACCAAGAAAGCAGTGTCGGGAGCAGAGGGCGTCCTTTGGACCTGAGGTTCCTGGGCAGAGAAGCTCCCAGAAAGACTGATGACACGGACTTTCCTCCAGAGCTGATGGAGAAAGCATTCCCCTGGGGCTGATGCCCTGAATTTGGACTGGTAGCCTACTGGACTGTGAGAGAATAAATTTCTCTTTGTAAAGTCATCCGCTTGTGGTATTTCTGTTAGAACAGCACTAGATGACTGAGACAGGAACCAACATAAAAAGTGGGCATAACTTGATAGCTTATTTCTTATTATTGAAAGGTCAGAAGTGAGTTATTAAGATGTCCTTTCATTATTAAGAATATATCTAGCACACCAAATTAACCAACACAGTGTTTAGGCTGTTTTTATGCCAAGTATGCCAGATGTGTAAATAAATCTCATTTTCAATATTACCATCACAGAACAGGGTTGCTATGAGTCAGAATCAAGTAGATGGCAATTGGCATCATTGCACAAATCTTGCATTTTACCATATATCTGGATACAAAAAAATAAAAATGAATTTTAGTCATCTAATCCTCCTTTTAATGCCAATTAATATCATATAGAGATTCAAAGTCACACAAGACAAAAGAGAGACGTGCAGATGTCTGGTCTAACTTGTCGTTTTACCCATGAGGAAACTGGGCTCCTCGGGCCATATGTAGTTGGTTGCTGGTGTGAGCGCAGAGCTTGCACTAGCACCTGCAGTCTGGGTTCACACAGTATACAGCATCTCCCACTGCTATGACACCATTCAGAGTGCTCCACAATAGCATGTGACCCTGCTAGAGGCCACTGCATAATCCCAGCATGCTTCTGTTCCCTCTTATTCCCTTCACTTCTCAAAATCGGATGGTGTTCTTTAAAATTCACTTCACCCATATATTTTCAGTCTTGGAGATCCCAGATTTTTGCATGGAAGTTTCCTTCATATCATTTGAGATTTGGCTAAATGTCATCTCCCCCAAGAGGCCTTCCCTAACCACCTTTGACAGGGTGCCTACCTTAACAAAGGTAGTTAGGGAAGGCCTCTTGGAGGATTCTATTACTCTGGTGTCTCACAGAATTTATCACTATCTGAAATTATCTTATTAATTCACCCATTTGTGTCTATCTCTCTCCCCACAAAAATATACATTCTGTTAGGGCAGGAACCTTTCTGTCTTGCCCACCACTTTTTCTCCACTGCCTAAAACAGCCTGTGGCATGCAGTAAGCGCTCAACAAATACTGCAGAGTGAACGAAAGATTCATCTCTCTCAAATACTTGCAGCAAAAGTGTGAGTTTCAAAAAATTCTGCCCTAGACACTGACCCTTTTGGTCTTGCATTCCTAAATAAATATGGCCTATCAACTAGAAAGGTCATATACATTTCTCCTTTCATTTCCAGCTGAATGGAACATCTTAAATCCTTCCTTTACAAGCAGAGTGTATGCTCCACTCCTCAAGAGTTTAAACTATGGCTCCTTGGTTCAAAGGAAACAAGTAGCTCAAAACCAACGGTCCAAAATTCAAATTACAGACTAACTTTAGTAGGCACTATCAAAAAAGCAAGCATGACATAGTTCCTTCCTTCTATGTCTTTTTTGTTTGGTTTTGTCATTAACTGATAGCTACACGGACATATAAGTAAATCAGAAATATCAGTTGAATAAATTTTTTCCAACATTATGAAAAATTCAAACCTGTATCAAATTTTAGTCCTTTACAGCAAACACCATATGGCTACCACCTAGATCCCAAAGCTAACATTTTATTGTACTTGTGTATCATATATCTATCTCTCTGTAATAATTATATTTTAATGATTGGTTTTTACCAAAGGATCCCCCCACCCCTGCGTTATGTCTCTACGTGCTACTCTGATGACTCTGACATGGATAGCGCCAAGAAAGACAATTTGCTGTGAGTAAAACCAATGACAAAGTATCCACACCTAACCAACCAAGACTGAGACTGTTTCAAAATTTTATAGAAAGTGAATAAAGAACAGATTGTGTAAAAGTGACTATATCCAAATAAGACTCATCTAGACAGAAGTACAAAAATATTCTTTGTCATTTAAATCACAACACTAAAATTAAAGTGCTGTGTTTAAACACCTTTCAAGACAGCATTGCTAAACAAATGAGTCGCGGATTCTGGGAGGTAATTTATTTTGAAAGGGAGTCCAAAATATTTGCCTCAAAACATCCCCACCCGAAATGGACATAAAGTTTCAAGAAAACTAAAACCCAAATACAAATTAGAAGATTAATCTATTCAAGGATGGAAAAACATGGATATAAGGCATGTCTTCTAAAATATAAAAGTTATCTTGAATTTGTAAATTTAAAATTATGAAGAAAAACATAAACATAAATATGGGAATTTGGGTGTTATACAAAATTATACAAAACCATAATAAAGTTAACTCATGTTAGTTTAACTATTAAAAAAAAAAAAAAAAAGTTGCTGTCAAGTCAATTCCAACTCATAGCAACCCTATAGGACAGAGCTGAAATGCCCCATAGGGTTTCCAAGGAGAGGCTGGTGGATTTGAACCACCGACATTGTGGCTAGCAGCCAAACTCAATGCACCACCAGAGTTCCAGTCTAACTATTCCGTGTCATAAAAAAGCATATGAAATTATTTTACTATTTCACTCAGCATCTTTTTTTACTTACTGATACATAAAACTGAAAAATAATAAAAATGAATAACAGAGATACATATTGCTGATAAAATACTCTTCTTCCTCCAAAAGTAAGAACTTTTAATAAAGACAGTAATTCTAAAAATTTACTTTTTTCCTTATCAAGAAA